CCACAACATGAACATGATACAAGAAGTCTTAAAATTATGCAACTTGAAAAAGAAAACCAACAATTAAAAGAATATATTCAAGTTCTTGAATATCCTGGAACTACATCCTTATTATTAATTATAAAATATCCATCTATGAAAGCTTCTTCAAGTGAAGAAAAACCTAAAACTAGACCTAAAGCTTTTAAATTTGGAAATTTAGTAACTTCTGAAGCTATTACAAAAGAAGTATAAGAAAAAGAGAATATTAAGCAAAAGAAAATAGAAGATATAAAATTAAGAAAAGAACAAAGAGCAAAAAAAAAAGCAAAAAAAGTAAATTCAAAATCTAAAAAACTAATTTAAAAAAAAAATTATAAAATATAAAATTTTAAAAAATTTATATTATATTAATAGAAATAGGAAAGAAGGTTTAAAATTGTTATAAATTTTATAAAATTTAGCTTTATTCAAAAAAAATTTTTTTTTGTATATAAATATTATTCAATTTAGATATTTTTTAATAATAAATTGATAATATATTTAATATATATTTTTTAATAAAAAAATATTAATTTTTAAAAAAAATTTATATATAGCAAAAAAAAGTTTGCGGAATAGGGCGATCTGCCTTATGGTTAATTCTTTTTGATAGATGGTTTAAATTTTATATATCTTTGAATAAAGATATCTTGACACTCACCAAGTCAAATTTGATAAACTTTTTTTATTTAAATTCTACAAATCAGTAGAATTCAAATAAAAAAAAAGTTCATTAAATTTGGCTTGGTGAGTGTTATAATATCTTTACTCAAAGTTTAAAAAAAAGTTTGGTGTAGCTCTTTTTGATAGATGTTTTGAATTTTTAAATATTTGAGTGAAGATATCACGATACCCACCAAGCCAAATTCAATGAACATTTTTTTATTTGAATTCTATATATTCATGGAATTTAAATAAAAAAAAGTTCATTAAATTTGGCTTGGTGGGTGTCGAAATATCTTTGCTCAAAGGTTAATAACAGTTTGGTATAGCTAGACGGTTTGGATTTTTTAAATCTTTGAGTGAAGATATCTCACACTCTGTTTCACTACACTCTAGGTATTTTTTCTAATAAAAATTCTAATATTAGATTTTGGAACTTTCGTCAAGTTTTGGGTTTGCCAATTTTTAGATATTTTGCCAGATTTCAGACATTTCACCATTTCACCAGTTTTAGAATTATCAGATTTCAGGCTTTTGGGTGAAATATATTTCACCCTATTTTGGAAATTTCACTCACAACACTAGAATAAACAAAATTGAAAAACTACCTGAAAGATATAGAATGTGGAAAAATATTGTCAGAATTTGGAATTTCTATACAACTTTGGTCACAATAACCAAGAATCAATCCCAGATCGGATAATGATCGGATAATGATGGAATGGCGAAGCAGCCAGTATGGTATTTGGTTATTATCTGATAATCTGATCTGGGATTGAATTGATATTCGGATAATAACTGATTTACTCCTAGGTTCTATTATACTTCTATACTATTTCTTCAAAGTAAAATTGTGTATTTCATAAAGTCTAGTCACAAAATCTCTTTTATTTTTTATTTTATTTTTATTTATTTTTTTTAGCAGCAACATTACTCTTTGTAACTCTAATAGTTTAAAATAGTTTAAAAATTTCATATATCATTAAAAAAAAAAGTAAAAAAATATATAATCAAAAGAATTATAAATAATGAAGGTAGTACTGATAAATAGATCTTTGCACATTTTGATACATGATTTTTTATTTTACATTTGATATATATATATATAATTATGACAATTATTACTATAGAAACTTCCAAGTCTGCAAGTCCAATAAAACAAAAACGAAACCGATCAAGAGATACAAGTTTTCGACTATATAGAAGAATAATTCTACCAATTTTGATGGAATTCAGGATTTTTATGATAATATAAGTCAATGAAATAGTTATGACTTTTAGTATAATTGTTATCATTTTCCCTCATACTTTAACAGATATCTTCACCAAGAAGATCACTGAGGATCATATCAAGAAGTATTACTCCAAATGTTTCAACTGCTGCATGTAAAAAATGTAGAGTTCATTGCCCACCTTAAATTTTTTTTCTTCACCAATTATTGAGAAAATATGATGCCTGTCTTTGCAAAATAATTATAAAATAATGCATTAAATCAAATTTTTTTATAATTTTAAAAATAATATAATGACTAGTTCTTCTGAATATGATATTATTTGTCAAATGCCTGGTTCTTTTTAAAAAAAAAAATCTATTCTCAAAAAACTGACCTAAATATATTACATCAACGCAGTCCAAACAAAATGCAAATCCGGTTATATTAACATAATATTTTTCAAAAGGACTACATAAATTATGTGCAATGCAGTATTTATTTATACTTTAGCCTACGATTCTATTAAAATTTAAGTGCATTTTATTTACATATTTACTTTAAAAAAAATGCAATACCCTGTATTTTACAACATAAAATCGATAAAAAATTTTGGGGAACAGCAATAGAACTGTTACGTAACGCTCAAGTACAAGCACACGTACGTACATAATGTGAAATCGATTTTTGATCAAGGCGATTATTGTGCCAATATTCGAGTATTCATGATATTCGTTTTCTACCATTTCGAAAAGTGATAATATGTATTTGCAGTGAATAAATAAAATTCGCGACGGTTGTATTTTTTTTATTAATTTATATTTATATAACGAATTTGATAAGTTAGTTGCATAATATAAAATCAAAAGAAACTTGATTTAAATGAAGTGAAACAAAGTGCGTAACTTAACAGTAGTCAGTCCAAATCTTACTTTTGATTAGTTAACATAATCATAGTTATTACATTACCACATTTTTACATACAAATGACATCAAGGTAGATTCTAAGGCCGTTCTCAAGCATCCAAATCAATTAATTAAAGAATGATCGTGATGACACTCAAGCATCACAATCAATGGCGATATTTATAAAATTAAATGCTTGAGCATACTCTTTTTCTATTTTTCATGATCTT